GCTTGCAATTTGGGGTTCATTGCCAAAGCGAGCGCTGTAATTGTGGACGTTTCTCTTGCTATCTACACATATATAAACTGTACAAAAATAGTATTAAGTTTTAATGATGTATCCTAATCATTCAACTGCGATGTAGAATGTGCCTGTTGCGCACTCCTGCAAGTTGTAGGAGGCATCAGTACACAATTAATAAAATCCTGTTCAGTACCCACGAATGTAGTATCAACTTGCACCCTATAGAACACCAGCACTACACACTTTCTGACAGCTGTCACGTGTCTTGCTTGCAAGGAAATTTCAAAAGACTTTATGTATGAAGTTGAAATAGTAGTGGCATGCAAAACAAAATGCAAATATAAAAGTTTGACTAAAACATTGACCCTTTCAGGCATAAGTACACAATTAAAAAAATCTGGTTCAGTACCCACGAATGTAGTCCCAGTCTATTTTTAGATCACTTTTTCCTGTCTCCATTTCGTGCTGATACAAGAGTTAGATTTTGGCATTCTTGGTATGGATTTAAAAGCAATTGTTTATTCTTTAGAATGTGAGCTTATGGTGTGGTTGTCTTTGTGTATTTCGGCGACAGTGCACATTGAGTAATAAAGCCATGGTGATGATCCGGAAGTGAAATCTGTTCCGTTGCATGGTGTTTTGTTTACAATTCAGCCTCTCAAAAAAATGCAGGTCAACCCTTGACAAAAACTTCACCGTAAAATCATTTCTGTAGGTATTTTAGTTTAGCGTATGATTTGTATTTATTGTCACACAGTGGAAAGTTCAGTACTGAGAAACTAATGCTGAGACTATATAGTAAAATTAATTGTGTTCTATGGCCAGGAGGAAAGTTACAAAAGGAGTATCAGTGGCTCAGCTGATACCATGCCGGTCTCGCAACCGCATTATTGTGGGCTATAATTAATCTTACCAAAGTATTTAGAATTCTAGACTTTGGAGAACATTGTGCATTGTCCATACATTTTCAAGAAATATTTAGACTTGAGTGGGACTTTCTTTACATGCCTACGAAAACTAAAACTTCTATAACTCGAACATCAATCACTTAGATAACTGTTTTGTGAAATATATACTTTGTCCGGAATTAAAATCTCTAATGTTTTCGTATTTCTTGCATTCAAAAATTATTCATCGTTCTAATAGCATGCAGCCGATATAAGTCAGCACCGGTCGCTCGAAAACTGTGGCCATCATTCGGTCAGTACGCCAATTCTCAGCGAGGTATTAACAATATTGAATTCTGTACATTTGTTTAAACTTTCAAACCAAAGAATCAGCTTACGATAGAAGGGTATTACATCTTGACAAAGAATATCTATATCCATTGTAAATGTTTATGGAAATTTTAATTCGTACAGTCATCAGCATGCGATGTCATTTTTAATTCTTGTTTCAAATGTGGCATCCGAATTTCTCTAATGTTTGTGCTGCTTCTTATAATAGCATGGACAGTGGGCAACCTTCACTCACTGACCGTCAGTGTCAAATTCTTGCGTTTTCTTTCCATTTATGTAGTTGCGTTCCAATCAGTCGAAAACTTTCTCCTGGTCAAAAAATACCATATCACCTTTCTGGCCATTTATATTTATGTAGTCCGTCTTGGTCTGTATTGTCAAAATATTGTTTTGGATCTCCTCTTTTTTCTCCCGAAACTCTCATTGACTTTTATTATTCGACAATACTATTTTTTTAACTCTTTTTGATAAACTCCTATTAAGTATTTTGTAGTCAACATTTAATAATGAAATCAGTCTGATATTTTTGTAAGTCAAATTTATTATATTGTCTATTATAATTTCGACACCATGAATGTGATTGGTCTTCTGTCACTGGAAGAGTATTCGAAGACATTAACAACAAGAGCAACAACAAAATTCGTATTAATTTTGTTAAGGTCGATGAAAGCAAGACAGATAGGATATATATATATATATATATATATATATATATATATATATATATATATATATATATATATATATATATATATATATATATATATATATATATATATATATATATATATATATATATATATATATATGTGTGTGTGTGTATGTGTGTGTGTGTGTGTGTGTGTGTGTGTGTGTGTTAACCATTACGGCAAGGCCAATCTGAAACTTGTATGACACGCACATCAGATACAGATTTAGATTATTTGAGGTCAAGGACAATATCACCTGACAACAATGGCTTGAATGAACTATACTGTGACACTATATTTAGAGGCAATGTACAATGGGAGTAAATGGATAGAATAAAAGTGAACCAGTAAAATAAACATTGTATATTTTTGTGAAATAATTGATTAGAGGATATTGATTAAAGCATAATAAATACTATAACTTCACATGGGTGATAGACTCTTGCGCGATCCGATATACAACTCATCACGATGTAGCCTACCAAAACATAATACTGTATTGATATCGTGTATCCATTGCCTCCTTAAATCATTGGAATTATATCATTAGGTGTCTGTCATTGACGTAACCACTTTGAAAAAGAAATATTTGAACATACGAAGATATTTTTATACTTAACTACAATATCTT